TGTTGGCAATCATGTACACATCATGGTAAAATTAATATCTTCTCAGCTTCTCATCGAAGCTAATATTTTATCAATGTGTTATAATTTTTTAAGTTTCTACGTCTATATTTTTATACATAGTTATAATTTTTGACTCTCTGTTATAATTAAATTATTTTAAGTTATTTGTTTTATTAAAAAGATTTAACAATCAAAATAATATTTAAAATAGTCAATTTTTGAATACATAACTTAGATCACAATATTCATAAGTGTACTTTTTCCATTATATATATTATTATGACCAATTTTAATTAGATATACAACTAAAAACTAAGCGTATTGATTTTCATTACCTTCTGTATTAGATTAGAGGAGATAGGAAATGAAACAAACATATAAGAAGGTGTTTCGTCAATTGTAGGTAAAATGAGAGAGAATAGACTTGGATGGTTTGGTCATGCTATGAGGAGAGAATTCGGAAGCTGTATGAACAGTCATATAAATCAATGTTACAGGAAGAAGAGGTAGAAGAAGACCAAAAAAGAGATAGAGGGATGTTATTGAATGCGATATGAGGACAGCTGATGTGGGAGATCGTGTCAAGAGGAAATTTAGGATAAGGGTGGCTGACCCCAAATAGTTGGGATAAAGGTGAAGAAAAAGAAGAAGAAGAGCTTGTATTTTATTAAGTAATATAACTCACATATTTTTCAAATTTTTACTGATGAAATAAGTTATAACAAAAAAAATAAATTTCAAGAAATTTTAATACCCTGAATATACATAATATTTAAAAATATCAAATTTCTACTGAAGTATATTTTGAAGGTTTATAGTTCTTAGAAATTAACGGAATTAATTTAATTGAAAATCGGGATGTGATTACTTTTAATTATAGAATCACAATCAGGATTGGATCACCGAAAACACAAGCATTATTCCCAGTAAACTAACAAAGTAGTGTAATTAGAGGAGTTTTTTTCATAGTATATAAAATATAAATTTATTACCTCTTTAAAATGTTTTCATAAAAAAAAAGTAATAATTTAAATTGCGAATAAATTTCTTTGTTAAATACATATAATTTCTAAGCAGCAATGTGTCGTTTTACTAGGTCACTTTAGGCTACTGGCCAGTTTTCGGGTATAATACTTAAAATCAGCGGCTAGCTTCATGGTAACATTTTCATATGCTATTCGCCAACTTAAATTTATTCAGTTATCAGGTTTACTAGACTACCGGCTGTCATCAGCCGATCATACTTACAAATAATTAACCACTACTGTCTGTTACCAAAAGTTGAGCACGGCCATTTTCAACCAACGCTGGCAAATGCACACCGGCTAGCGGAGTCAGCGGCAAATTTTATAATCTCATCAGTCTGATCAAAAAGCTAATAATAGCGGCTAATTCAATTCACACAAATGTGACATTTTCTTAAAAGAGCATTTACTATTACCACACCTTAAACATGTTGCCACTTTGTTTACGTTTTCAAGAAAAAAATTTTGTACCAGGATTTCATGAGGTACCGCCCAACTAGTTTACATTATTAATATGTTAGATCGGATCGATATTATCTAACAAATAACAAAATTCAGTACCAGGGATTCATAAGGGTCTTTATGCGTTCAGGCGTCTCGAAATGGTGTCCAGTCTCTCGCCGACAAAATTTAAACTGGCCATTGAGATAATTCAATGACCCGATCCCAATAATGATGTTACTTGTTAATTATCTCATGAGTTCCTGGTACTAGAACTTTACTTTTATCCAAAATATATGAACACCAAATCTTGTTTATACAATCTCAATATGGGGCCCAAAATGTCGCAGATCATTCTTTGCAAGAGAGACACAATTAGTTTATAGTTCTTAAGATGAAATTTAAAAAATAATATTACATAAATTAAAAAAACCCAGTATAATGAGGTCGCGGCATAATGGGGATGTGGCATTATTGGGTCAAGTATAATATGATATCTGACAGTGATTAAAATCACAATCATAAAAAACACTTCGATGCAAATCTGTAGATAGTGTTTAATTTTAAAAAATTGATGGATTATTTCAAAAGCTACATGATCTGCTATTTCCTTATTTATATCCTGATTACAAGTTTTATGATTTATAAATGTAATATATGAATAAATAAATATCTATATATATTTATAATATATATAATACCTTCTCAGTTTCGCATCGCAGCTAAATTAAAATAAGGGTAGCACTCCAACATATTTTTTGTCTTACTTAAATAACAGAAAACAATATGTTAATATAAATGAGTGCATTGTTTCTCTGTACTTTGTAAAATTCTTGATATCAAGAGAATTTAAATTGTCTATCGTCTTAAGCTAAAATACTATACCACTTTTATTATGATTAATTTTATTGGAACCACAATATATTAAAAATCTCGCCAACCGCCGAAAAAAGCGCTTTATCTTCATCCTTTTTGATATAGTAAATAACAAAATCAAAATATCGAAAATTGTTTTTTAATATAATATGATAATCAATAATTTTTAGTAAGTGCGAAAAATAGTGTATTTTCATTAAGATTTAACAACAAACTAATTTATATTTGTCAATAAACATTCTTTGTATACTAGGTAACGCATTGCAACTTATATTTTACTATTTTTTTAATTTGAAAACATTTAAGTAATTACATTAGATTAAGAGATCTATAAGTATAGACCATTAAAAAATTGTATTCGTAATATAAAATTACAAAATTACATGAAATATTATTTCTTTAATCTTGACAACTATTTAAGTAATATAAATAGTCATTTTTTTAACTAATTAATAGAAAATAACACTCAAAAACGTGAAGTTATCAAATATTACTAGTTTTAAATAAACTATAGTATTACATAATTTTGAATTATGGCTCATATTATTCAAATTCGATAATATTGAATGTTAAACCTATACTCTATCAAGTGGATATAATAATAAACATATTTAACGTAGAATTATTTGAATAGATAACGCTAAATATTTTCGATTTTAATTTTCAAATAACTTAAAATAATTTATCTAACTAACAACAAATTGTTTTGAATTTCTGCTAACTTATTTATTTTAATTGTACATTTTTAAAAAATGTATATATGGAGGACCTGGGTAAAAATTGTTTATATTACATTCAATATCATATTTATACCATGTTATCAGTATACCATACAATCGATTTAAATAAAAAATAAATATACAGTTGTTAAAAGTTGTTAAACATAATTGATTATAAAAAATATGTTAGTGTAAAGCATTGAGAAATATATTTTAATTTGAAAAAACAAACAATGCATCAATGATGCAGTCTATTTTTTATTCCATCAATTTGCAAGCATTATTATCAATGGATGAGTTGTAAAGTATAAATAATAAATTAATGTTTTTTGAATAATATCTACACTTACTACTAGTATATAATGAACGTATAGCTCTGAAAAGTGACATGTATTTAATTTAATTAATATAACGAATTAAAGAGTAGTTTCCTTTTTTTATTCGTGGTTTACTTTTTATGCAATAATATGAATTGATTTTTATGTCATAACATTTCAAGATATATGGTCTGAGAATGTTCCATTTAAAAATATGTTTTTAACAATACTTCAATGCTTTGACCTCATAAATAATATATTTTTTATGTTGAATCATAATGAAATTGAAATTTTATACATTCAAGATAGTTCTTCGTCACGTTATGATGACATTTTTCATCATTCCATATAAAGTTATAAGTAAAAAATAACTTTCTTTGAAAATTGTTCAAAATTTTAGTAAAAAAAAAATCAAACTTTGTTTTAAAAAATTAGCAATGTTATTAATTTAAGTATGGTTATTAGACATGCTTAAGTTTAAATTATAAAATAAAATGCCCTATAATTTTTAGCTTTGACAAAAGTTAATATGGACGGAGTAGAAAAAAATTTATGTTTGAACTTGGTTTAGTTATATATAAAACAACACTAGCACATTGGGGTCGTAGCACAGTATGTAGGTGAAAAAAATTATTTTTGTTTTTCTATTTTGCAAAAAATTATAAGTACCAAAAAAACATTGATATTTTACACGATAATTACATTTATTGTTCAATTTTGACGGTCACTTGCAAATAAAAGATAAATTGTCGGGAAATTTTTTTTTTAACTTATAGTATTTATTGTAAGCTTTAATTGGACATATTTTTAAAGGACGCAGTATTTTCGGAACATTTTCAAAATTTCAGTTGAAAAAGTTGAGTTTTGTAAAAAGTTGCTATTTTTGCTCTTGTGGGTAGAGGTATAAGGGTCAGATTTTCAAAAATATTATATCAAATAAAAGAGAATTACTTAAGGTTTTATTATAAAAAAAATTATGTTGATTTGTTAATTTTTGTAAAAGTTAAAAAAAGTGAAAAAAATGACAAAATTTACCGATTTTAAAAATTGTAATTTTTTTGGAAATTTCCTCCATTTACGGAAAACGAGATCAATTTTTTCAATCTTCAATGGTAATGTCTTTAACTAGATATAATTTGTAATCTTTTGACGTATCGTTAAGAAATAAGATCGGTCCAATAAGAGCTGAGAAAAAGTAGTGACAGACAAAAAAAATTAAATTAAACACATCATGGCAAAATTAAAATCTTCTCAGCTTCTCATCAAAGCTAAAAGAGAATATTTAATTGTAAAATATTTTACATATTTTTATAAAGTATTTAAAAAAAAATTAATAATAAATTAGACATTACATATTATGAATTTTAATCAAATTTTCAACAAAAGTTTAAATTCTGCATGATTTAGATAAGATTTTATTATAATTAAGTATAAGGTAAAAATAAAATGGTGCAAAGAATAAAAAATATTTTGTGTACGTAAGTACACTGCATAAAAATATTTAATACAGCAGTTTTTAGTTAGTGTGTTTACCCATAAAAACAAACAAAATATCATCAGTTATGATTAAAAATAAAATCGACTAAATGATTCAACAAAGTAAAAAACAATTTTATCAATTTTAAATGTATTTGTGCGAATTTGAATTTTGATATTGTATTTTGTCAAAATGATAACCGCGGGTCACGTCAAACGTTTAATTGCCCATTATGAATCAATAGCAACCGTAAGTAAGACGACTTAGGAACTCTGNTTATGAATCAATAGCAACCGTAAGTAAGACGACTCTTACCTAAGTTACTTAAGTTTACTATTTATTGTTTTAGATCAAATGTTTTTTTAATAATTATAGTGTTTTAGTCACAAAATACTAATTTTAATGATAATATAATGGCTGCTTTCAATGACGGAAGTGACCTGATTGTTTACGCTAGAAGGGTTATTGTTCTTGAAGAAGTAGCATATGTGAAGATTCGTAAAAACGTTGCAGTAGAAGTAACACCGTCAAATCATTCGACAATTCAATCATACGATTCTATTGTCCACAAAACAGCAAAAAATATTATTGTAAACAATATTTCTATAGCTAATATTGGTAAAATACATTTACAGTATCTAATTATATAATATAACATTGAAAATGTCCTAATGCAGGAAAAATTACTTAGCAATGTACGATTTTTTTAAATATTTTAAATAGCTTGCTTATAAAGTTACTCGTGGTTTTAACTAACTTAATTATTTAATTAATTTTAGATAATATAACAAACATTTTTTTCTCATTTAACATTAAGTTTGATTAATCATTCAGTTCAGAATAAGCAACTTTTAATAATTTACAATATCTCGTGAATTTGTTGACACAAAAATATTTATTGTTCTCATGTTATACTCCATTGAACATATGTGTATAATAATTATTAATAATAACTTTCTTTTAAAATAAAATTTATTACAAAACTGACACAACTACAAAAATATTTTAAACTTTGCTAATTAAAAATATACATTTATTGTGAACCTATTTTTAATGTACGGGGTCAAGGGTTCGATCCCCAATGTGCCAACTAGATTTTTCTTGTCATTTTATCATTGTTGGTGTCTAGTTTCTGGTGCAATCCGTCCAGTCCATCATTGATTAAGCCAATAAACATCTTTGATTCCCTAGCATGTGAAAGAGGGCCAACACCTTCTAAATCATGATAAATTGGAGAAGTAGAAGGATGTAAATCTAATCATTATGTTTTTTTTACATTCATTAGGAAATATTTCCATACATATTTTTACAACAGAATAATAATTTTTTAACTTAAAAACATTTCGAAGGCATTTGAACTAAACTTATGTTAAATATTTTATGAGTTAGATAGAAGTTTAATGTTTAACTCTTACCCAAATTATATTTTAGCTTCGATGCAAAGCTGAGAAGGTATTAATTTTACAATGATATGTTTATTTTTTTTCATTTTTTCTTTTTTTTTGTCTTTTATCACTTTTACTCAGGTCTCGCCGATCCGATTTCTTTCAACGATAAGTCAAAAGATCAAAAATCGTATCTAGTCGAAGACATTACCATCAAATATTGAAAAAATTTCCCTCGTTCCCCGTAAATGGGGGAAATATCCAAAAAAATTACAAATTTAAAAATCGCTAATTTTTAAAATTTTTAAAAATTTTTTTTACCTAAAACTGCCATAACTTCTTCAATAATGATTATATCGATATAATTTTTTTTTATAGATACATTATGTCTTTACCTTTAAATCTTACCCTTTACCCGTCCACAAAGGGGGAATGACAACTTTTTCACAAAAAATTAACTTTTTCAACTTCACTTTTGAAAGTGTTCCGGAAACTCTGACACTTTTCTATATCTTAAATTAAATATAATGTAATATGCTTTATTATTAAAAAAAAATTTGGGACTTTATTTTGTCTTCATGGAAAAAATAGTTACCAAATGCTATTTTTGTGTGAAAATTCTCGATTTTATATTTTACATTTTTAACTTTATTATGCTACAACTTATTGAAGAGTGTATGGATCATTACAATCTTTTTATGTGAAATAATATTTATACCCTTCTTTCATTCGACATACTATATCTTAATGAGAATATAAATAAGGAAATAGCAGATCATGTAGCTTTTGGAATAATCCATCATTATTTTTAAATTAAACACTATCTATAGATTTTCATCGAAGCATTTTTTGTGATAGTGATTTTAATCACTGTCAGATATCATTATACTTGACCTAACTATGCCACATTCTCACTGTGCTGGGTTATTTTTACATTAAAACCCCATAAAAAAAATTCACTTAAATAAAAAATTCGAGATTTATTGACGTTCAATATAAATTAACATTTAGATTATTAATAGCATCAAATTACAAAGAAACACTTAAAAATAATTTATGTGATGCTACCATTATAAGTACTACACACATATTGATTGTGTTTTGAAAAAATGCATTTTTATTTTTCAAGAACAATTGTATACATATCAGAAAGTGTATTTTTATATAAATTAAGTTGCGTGATAATATAAAAATTTCAGGTTTCGTATTTTTAATGTTTTATTAATCCTACCAGCAGAAACACCTATAAAGTAGTTTTTTGGGGTAAACAAAGTAATTATATTTTGTAACCCTATTTTCGCTTTGATACGAAGCTAAAATATTACATTAATTTGCTATAATATATATTTAATTATATATATTATACTTATAAATCATAGAACTACTAATTAAGAATAATGAAAGAAATAGGAGATAATTTTGCTTTTGAAATAATCCACCAATTTTTTAAAATTAAACAGTATCGACAGATATGTAACAAAGCGTTCCTCATGATAGTGATTAAAATCACTGTCAGATATCATGTATACTTGTCCCAAATATGCCTCGTCCATACAATGCTACGACTACATTATGCTACCGTTTTTTCTTATAAGTATTAATTTAACCATATTTATGGGACATTTAAAAAATACTAAAAAAAAATTTATTTTTTAAAAAAAGCATTATTCTTAATGCGAAACTAATTTTTGGTCGCCCGTTTCTTCTATGTCTTCAACGGGTATTCTTGTTAACTAAAAATATCAGAGAGAGAGAGAGTTATACATAAGTTTTTTAAAAAAGGTATCCAAAATATAGGAACCAATATATTATCCATGAATTTTTTTAAAAGTTATACTTATGTGGATAAAATTGATATTACATCGTGTACTGGAAAAAAATTTCTTACAATTTGAGATCTAAGTATATTTCATTATTATCATTAAAATCACTTATTATCTTATTGTTTAGTCTCTGAAACTAGCTTCTAATAAAATTGTGCTCTTTACCGAAATGCCGATAAATATTATGTCATGTGTTATTTGAAAAGTTTTAGATTTTAAATAAAAAAATTTTCTTAAAAACTGGATAATTAAAACAAAAATGTAAATATTTTTAATATTTCTTAGGTAATTTGTCTAAACGTACGGGTTCTATTTACGGGAAAAATTTGGTATCAGGAAAACATGAATATCTTACTAAACCTGTAATTATAAAATTATTAATTATTATTAATTAAACTATAATATTAAGTTTATTGTTATTGAGAAAATATTATTAATTATTAATAATAAATTTTCATTATGTTTAATACATTTTGAAGACGTCTGTTATTAAAATAAAAGAAGAACAAAATTATTACAAGCGTTCTGTGGAGTCGTTACCTATTCATAAAAATTTAAGCTCAGAAGAAAAAATGAAAACAATTATGACTTCATTTGATAAAAGTCGCACCTCAGTATTAAATAGTGAACACATATTTCCAAAAAAGGGACACGTTAAAAATAAAGTGGAATATTATACTTATTTTCATAATCGTAAATTTTTGTAATATTATTGACTAATGTATTAAAACATAAATGAAATATAAATTACTTCCAAGTGCATAAACTTTTTTTTTTCATATTAATAATAAGAGTAATTTCAACTCTACAAATTGTAATATTGTCTATGAAATTTGTATAATTGTATATTTTATTAATTTATTATTGTGTCATTTCTATCATAATACATTTTATTTTTATCTAACATTAAGAATTTTTTGTTTAAATGTATTATTTAGTCTCATGGACCTAAATTTCTAATACATAAACTAAATTAAAATGTCTTTTAATTAGAAGAAATGTAATATTCTTTATATAAACATTTTTGGAGTATATATCAATACAATATTGTATTAATATATACACTATGATCCAATATATTATAGTGTATTATAGTAATATATTATAATATATGTTAAAGTCGTGTACCAAAAATTCAGCACAATGAAATTTTATAAAACTGAATCCTTATTTGATTAAACTCAGCGTTAGAGGGAACAAACGTTGTATTAAAATATTTGACAACTCATTATTTTTGATAAGAAATTATTGGTGATGGAAAACATATAATTGCTGATTTGAAATTAGCATGAAAATAAAAGTATCTTTTTTACTCTGATGAAAATTTTTTGTAGACCATTTATTCATAACTAATAACAAATTATTATCAAAAAAGTTCTGTGCCAAATTTCAGGTTTCGTATTTTTAATGTTTTATTAATCCTACCAGCAAAAGCACCTATAAAGTAATGTTTAGGGGTAAACAAAGTAATTATATTTTGTGACCTTATTTTAGCTTCGATACGAACCTACATCAAACTGCTATAATAGATGTTTAATTATATATATTATACTTAGAAATCATAGAACTATTAATTAAGAATAATGAAAGAAATAGGAGCTAATTTTGCTTTTGGAATAATCAACCAATTTCTTAAAATTAAACAGTACCGACAGATTTGCAACAAAGCGTTTTTCAGATATCATTTATACTGGACCCAACTATACCACGACCCCACTGTGCTGAGTTTTTTTTTATTTCTTTGTTTGTATTAATTACTGAATCTGTGTTATTAAAAATTGTTTTGTTTGCGTATACATCTGTTGTTGGATCAACTATTTGAGTTGGTCGATTCAATTCAAAAACAAGTTCTTTTATTTTTTTCCGTTGAATAATTTGTTTACTTATATTGGTTTCATCAGCATATTTAATCAACTGTTCGAATGCTAAAACCGTATTAGTCACTTTTTCAAGATATAGATTTGACATTGTTTTTGATATACACTTATAATTATAATTTATGAAAAATGTAAAACTAATTCCAATTAAACAAGAAATAAGGAATTTTATACAATATTAATTTTGATAATTCGTAAATTTAAGAACACAAGAGTGAATTATACAAAATTAAGTCTGCATGTACACTTATGAAATATAAATACATATTTGTGTTTTTCTATAGAAGCAAAATAATTTATTGTATATTCTTTATAAAATATGAAAATGTATTATTAAGCTTATATAGTCATTTAATATTATATTTTCATCAAAGGAATTATTTAATTGTAAGTAATTATTACGTTATGAATGTATGTTGTAACTAAAATAATATTTTATTAGTTCCTATCTGTTATTCTATTAAAATAAAATAAAAATACCTTATGATAATCTATGCAATTTAATAAGTTCAAATCATCAAAATAAAAAATTATTTTCAAGATATTCCACGTGGAATTTGGTTTTTATTCAGGTTCTATTTAAACGGGAGTAACTTACACTGCTTGAATTATTCTTCAATCTAATGATATCAGAAAATATATTAAAAAAATGTAATTAGTCAACATTATTTTTACATAACATTTTATAATTGTAAATTAATACCTTAAAAAGAAAAAAGAAATATTCATCTCAAATAAATTTTTTATTCGGCGACTGTATTTAAATGGGTAATATTTACGTTGCTTTGTTATCTAAAATATGCTCTGATTAAATAAACAAATTTTAATTATTAAGAGCCTCGTCCTAATATCAATGAAAACTTAGAGTTTTTTTTACAAATTATTGGATCAACTCCATAAGTAAAATAAACTGTGTTTGTCATTATAATGCAGTTCTCTATATTAATATATAATTTTAAACGTTTCCAGTACATATTACTCGAGTGAAATTTTAACTTCCAATCTATTGACTATTGGACTAACTAGGGCAAATTATTTTTGAGGAGTTGGGCGGGTCTTGTTTAATTTTCTTCATCTTAAAAATATATTTTTATAAATATGCCAAAGTAGTATTTACCAAACATCAATTTACTGTTATAATTAATGAGTTTAAAGATTGATAAGATGATAAAAAAAAAATTTAGTTTCTTCAATCGAAAAAATTGGGGGTACTAAATTTATTGATTTCAAAGTAGCCTATGGGAAACATACACCCACAATGGTGTGCTTACACCCCCTTGTATACTCCGATAGAAGTTTTTTATTATTGATATTTTTCATAAATGAATAATTAATAATAATAAAAGATATTTATTTTTTATTGTACATAATTATAATTATAATTAAATGATATCTGAGACTTGTATCTTAAAATTGATGTCACAAAAATGCAATTTTGAGATTATTGATTGATATACGTAAAAATGGTCCGGTTAATGGTTTTATTGGTAAGGTATATTTTTAGCACAATTTGCATAACAATACATTGAAGTTTAAAATTTGTTTTAGATTTCCTGAAAAAAATTGACACACCAACCATTGGAAAATATCCTCAAATTTATAATGAAGATATGAAATATTATTAGTTTTATAATTTTATATTTGTAATAATATTTATTGAAAAATAAAATTAACATACATATATACAAATTTAATAATTTTTAAAGTATTTGTAGAGCCATATATGGACAAGTATACTTATCTTATTACATAATAAAGTTGACCGTTGAAAACCAGATCATTAACCTTATTGAAATAAACAATAACTTATTCAATTATTGACGTTCAGAAATACCTGTCTTTTTTTTTTTTTTTTTTT